GCTGAACCACATTTCAGGTAGACAAGCAAAGAGCTGATCAGGAATGCACAATTTCATTATTGCTAATATCTGCCCAGACAATGCTATAATACACTTCTTAAACAAAACATCCAAAAATAAACCAAAAAAGACTCACCCCTCTTCAAGAAAAACCCACTAACCACCACATAGCCAAAAAGAAAACCCATACCTTTCAGAAGCGTGGGATTCAAAAGGAATATTTCGCAGCTCTCCTAAAGCCTCGCCTTGTCTTCAGCTAAATATTATCCACAGTGGGAGACCTTCCTCTTCCTTAACACTTCCTAAGACTTTAGTGCATCTAGTCCACATATTTCCAGTATCATTTATTTTTATAAGTAGCTTGGCAATGCCCTCCTTGATCTTACTTTTAGGAACAAGGCCCGAGGTCTCCAGAGCTGAGCATCAGCCTCCTACACTCACAGGTGCCATCTGAGCTCAGTAAGAAAGAAACACAAGTGAGGAATTATTGTCACAAATAAGGAAGCTGAGAAGAAAAGTGTTCAGAGTTCATGTTCTCACTCTTGCTCAGAGTTAGGAGCAGGGTTTTGTTTGAGCTTCTTGAAAAACGTGGCTAAGGACACGGCAAGTAAAACTGCTGTCTTAGACCCAGGATGCACAGGCAGGCCAGGAACACCACCACATCCCGATGCCTCGGCCACTTGCTGCACCTGAGTTTCTAAGCACTTTTTTACCGCAGGTCAGAAGCTACAACAGTAAGTAAAAACACCCAGCTCCCATCACTGCACCAAGCATAAGATATCGGTAGTAAGTTCAGGGGAAGCTGTGTACATTTTCCAATTTATGTTAAGCTATAACCAATGCCAATTTATTTTTCTCGTAAACCAGCAAAATCAAGCAACCTAGACCAGACTAAACATAGTTGGATTTAGAAACAGGTTAGATCATACCTAGGTCATTTTTATGCTTGCCTACAAAGCCACAACTTCACTAAGCTCTTTATGACCCAAATTCCAAATGAATACTACACATTAATACAAATAATTGATACACTTCACCCTCATGTAAGAGGCTTCCTCTAGAAATCTCAGCACACATTACCAAGACAGATGGCAAAATTCAGGCTGGGAACAGAAGAATAGAAGGGGAATGATTTGTGAACAGCTGATACTATGACAGAGTGAAAACGAACCCACACTTCAACTTTCCAGGTCTGGATATACCCACCAGAACATACCCTCAGTAAATTCAAACAAACATGCCTGAAATTGGGATTAGGTAGGAAACATCACTGATAATTCTGAATTAACAAAAGCACACTGGCATATTAGAACAGTGAACATACATCATTTCTGTTTCAGAAAGGTTAGTTCTACAGACTGAACTCAATCTCTTAATTCAGCTTTAGAATTAAGACGGAGGATGCAAGACTATTGCAAAATATGTAGAAAGGGCTTTTCTCCCTCCCCTTCTTTTAAACAAAAACACCTTCCCAAGTGCATCTGCAATTTCTTCAAATTAGTTAGAGATGACTAGGTAGTGAATTATCCATGGCTTCCCTCCACGCACAGGTATTTCACACAGCCCACTACAAACTACATCAGAAACCACTTCCTTCAGTTTATTAGTTTGTTCTAGAAGTTGTGTATTGCATTATACTTTGCTATGCCTCACTTTAGTCTGCAAGGTAAGCCGAGATGAGTTTACTTGGCTTCACGGATTAAAACCCACTTTCCAAAACTATTCCTACAGGAATTATCGTGTCCCTTCCTTTTTTCATACTGGTTATTGGGCCCTTCAGCAGTAAAGATGAGCTAGGAAGAGAATTCTTTGCTATTTATAAATACAATTTCTTTACCTATGTAAGAGCCATTTGGCTGCAGGTAGAGCATGTCAGAGCTCCTGTGAGCACCAATTAGAGCCAATAATACCTTCATAGACCTGCCATAGAACTTAACTGTGTAACGGAGCTCATTTTCTCCTCACGGAGCACAGGCTTTGCTTTTAGGCCTAACTTGAGGAAATTCAGCACTTCAAGTCTGTGCTCAATGATCATTCAGATGTAACAACCCAAAGAACATTACTCAAAATAACCTGTTTACACCAGTCTGAAGGCCTACAGGTGCTGCATCAGCATACAGGTCAGAGTTATCCGCACAGTGACAGATAGTCCAGTGAGTTTACCTGTGTGCAACTGAATACACAACAGTTTGCTGGATATGTCAATGTTCCTTCTCTTCCACTTTGAAGGTGTACAGCAAACCCACTACGCTGCTTGGAAATAGGTGGTATTATTAACAGCATACCAATAAAGTTTTTCCAAAACATGAATAGTCACTCCAGACAGAAAACACAAAGTAAGCAGATATTAAGAGAGAATATTAAGTAGAAGGAAACGGATCAGAATTACTATCACATTGTGACCACACTGAAAAACAACATTGACTTAAATGTTTATATTTGACTGCAGCACCCATGAGTTTATGGGTTTAAAAACCTTAAGAGAAGCGAACAGAAAAACAGTACAATTACAGCCTTGGACTTCATGAGAGAAGATTTCACCTTCTTCGAACCCAATCAGGTTCTGACACCTTTACCTAGTTGGCCCTGCTTTAAGCTGGGGAGAATGATCAGGCTGCACTAGTTCACCTCCAGACGTTCCTTCCAATCTTAATTATTCTACAGGTCACCAAAATGCCACAAAAAAAAGCTAGTTACTGGTTTAAGTGAAGCATTCATTAACTTTAAAAAAAAAAAAAAAGAGAGATTCAACCTGAGATCTTTTCTCTCCACTTAAGCTTTATTACAGACTCCTTCATGACACAAGAGCACATGCGTTTTCTTGCAGGACACTACTCCAGACAGAGAATGGATAATACCCTGTTAATGAGGAGCCATTTGATATTTAGTTTCTCCTAATCATTCAATATTTAATTATACACCTCTTATTAAATAAAACTCCAACCATTCCCTGAAAAATTTGAGGGATTGATTAACTCTATGGTATTTATGATCACAGTTTCTTATTACTTCCAATATATTATTTACACTTTTCAAAAACACTGAGGAAATAAGAGGCCAACATTCTCTCCCACTCAGCTGCGAGAAGTCCAGCTTCTCACAGTGCCCTAGGCTAGACCATGTTTACTGCACCAATGTGCAAGAACGGACAGGAGCAGAATATGCTCAGCTACTCTGCTGGGACGCCGCATGTGAAATTCCGGCAACTTTGCCGGAACTCAGAGAAACCAAGAAATTATTTGCTGAGGAAACACTCCCTGGAGATCTGAGCTACTAAGACACCACCTCTGTTTAGCATAAACAAAGCTGCAGTTTGCTATAAACTTACAGCTTGGTGAAATGGCAGTTGATATATCCCCAAAATGACATATTATAGGTATAAACGTAGTGTTTAGAGGTATCAAATTTGAGAGATACTAACCTGTTGCAACACACCTGACAATGCAGTTGCTGAAAGCTGCTATGTTTAGCTTGGACAACTTAGGTATTTTGCTAGCTGTATTCATAGACAGAGCTGATAGAACAGGCTGAAGCAAAAACTCACCGTGGAAACATTCCTTAACAGAAAAATTATGAGCAATGCTATTAGCCATAGCAAACAAAACCTCCTAGTCAGTTAAGAAATTTTTAGCTAAAGTTGCCACCTCCACCTATTAATTTTTGATCGGTTATCACTTCTCCTAATCATTGCCCAAAATCTTCAAGAATCAATCTTAAGGAAGAGTATTCTCCAATCAACATAAAACTGTAGCAGCTATATGCTGCCTAAAACTTATCTTGTAAAGCAGTAGAGAAAAACTCTGCCACATTTGGACAAAATATAACTTCTTTTGTGCCTTAGGGATCCTTTAAATCTCCTCACATCATATCTCCTCACATCACCCTCTCAATTTATTTGCATCTACTAAGCCATCTACAGTCCATTTTGTCTCAGCTATACTAACTCTAGCACGTAACAGTTTCACTATGACCATAAAAATGCAACATTTGACAAATATTATAAGGCTTCCATGCATAAACACTGTTAACTGGGAGTAACTGTGCATGAATATACCTACACACTAGTTGTACTTTTTTGTTGTAACAATCCTCTTTTTAGCATGAAAATTACAAGAAAACCAGGACAGTTTAAAAGCTGGTCAGCTACCTGCGTTAACATAACAACATTTCTTTCCAGGGTCTTGCACCCTTTCGTGACAACATATAGATCTGATCATGCCGGTAATTCACCACAAGATATGAAGACTATAAACCTAATGATAATATCTTTCTACCTAAAATAACATGCAGGACACATGGCATGTGCCTTTCCCTCAATTATTAGGTTTTTATGTTTTGACATAGAATTCTAAAACAAGTATATATGATACTGTTTTTTTCTTAATATTTCTGCAAAAACAAGTTTTCAGTCCTTTTCCATTTCCTAGTAAGGGGACAACTAGAAGACATGCAATTTTTAAATTCAAAGATTTAGAAGAATATGAACATAGTAACTCTACTGCATCTATTGCTACTTTTTGTTTGTTTGTTTGTTTTTCTTCTTCTCACGGCTACTTTATAGCACTACTATATATTTTCTGCTTAGTCCAGTAGTTCAGATGAGT